TCGTGATACTATTTACAATTGGCTTTTGCCAAGATCAACTTCGAGCTGTAGGAAAATATTAACATGATTTGTTTTCCACAAATGTTACTTGACAGAGAAAGGTGTTTAAAAAATTCATAATAGTGGGGTTTCACATAAAATAATTCTTTCAAACCATTTATAAGCTCACTGAAAATCATTACTGTACAAGAAAGGATTATGGAAGTCTTTGCTTTAGCTTATGACTCACCACTGCTTTTTCGATGTTTTTATGATAAACATGCCCATATGTGATTATCACAGTGACTAGTTTAACAATGTTTTTTATTTCTCTTACATATCCATAATATTTTTATTGATGCAGAAACAGAAGCAAAGTGAGGTGCAGTCTGTTGTGAAAACCAAAGTGAACAAACTATGTGTTAAAACTTCTATATGACCATAAAAAAATGTGCTCTTTTCAAATAATTTTTTCGTATTTCAAGGAAAAAGTGAATCGACACGACATTATTTTAATAGAATTTTATCATAATTTGCTTCAGATGGATGTCACTTTCAAAACTTGAATCACTTTCAAAAGAAATCGTAACTCATATTATTGAGAAATACATGAATGGGCTAGATGTACTAAAATCTTTTGGCTTTTCATTCAATCAATTATTTAATGCGCTCGTTACTCAATCTCAATAGCTTCTTTTTGATTTCATTCAATGTAAAAAGATGATTTTAGTATTTGCATGGGTCCTCTTATCAGCCTATATCGACAACATAGAAGAATGAGTTATCTCCGATCAAGACACACCTGACCTAGTTTGTGTTTTTCTATCTTTGTTTCCATCCATTTAATTATTTAATTGACTTCAAAAACTTTATTTCTACTTTAATGATACAGCTCTCGATAGGAGTATTGCTGGAATGGCTCTTAAGTCATTATCACAAACGACTATTGATATTTGATCAATTAGATCAAAAATGAAAAAGGAAAAATCTTCATTTTGAGATATAATTGTCAATTTTTTTCGCTTGACATCGCTTAAACGTTCTTTCCTTATGAGCAATTTCGATTCTATGCTCTGGAATGATTTGAAGAATGTGTTGTCACATATTGAACAATTGATTACTTCTAGTATCTTTGTTGAACTTCAAGATTTGGAATATTTTTTCAAGTATGGTTCTCGTCTTAAATATCTTGATGTGGGTGTGTGGGTGTGGGTGTGGGTGGGTGCTGGGTGGGGTGTGGGTGGTGTGAGTGTGGGTGTAGGTGTGGGTGGGTGTGGGTGGGTGTGCGTGTGGGTAGGGTGGGAGTGGGTGTGGGGTGTGGGTTGAAATGAAAAGAGGGTGTGGATTTGGGTGTGAGTGGATGTCTTTTGATTTCAACCCACACCCCATCCTCAGCCACATCCACACCCACAACCCACAGCCACACCCCACCCGCGCCCACACTGACA